CAGTACGCCAGGGGGAGCAGATTTAGCACTTTCTGGTATGTGTTTAAACAAACTGGTTTCATTTTAAGTTTCATTAACTCTTGCGTGAATCCATATTCTCTGTGTGTCATGAGCAAAGATTTTCGCCGCTGTTTCATAAAATATATTTTCTGCAACCAAGTCAATCAGTTGCAAAGAGATTTGCCCTACAGCGATGCCAAAGTTCACAATACCTTAGTCAGAACCACTACTTCTAAACGTTCTGGGAATTCGTCTGATCTGCCCATTCTGTAACTGCAGTCAGATAATACCCTGATACGAACAACAATCTGACTAGGATTGCGATTTATACTGACAAATCACGCAGACAGAAATGCCGGTACAGGTACATGAAGGACACCGGCAATCTCCGCTTTAACACTGATTTAACAAAAGCAGACATCGGACTTTCAGCATGACCATCCATCGAAAATCATCAACAAAACTATGGATTTATTTCTTTGGTGATAAATATGTACCGTTCTGAAGGTGTGAAGCTGATGTTTTATCATACTTCCCAATGGCATTGCTGCTTTCCTTTGGTTTTTTTACGGGTGGCCCAGTAAATACATTTCTACAGACTGGAAGTCCCCGGGCCCACATACATGTGCATAAGCTTAAATGGGTACAAGCTTAATGCTGCAGCTTTAAAGGCATGCTGTCCTAAAGCATGGCTGTTTGCTTCTTTCTCTTGCTTCTTACCTTAATCAGGTAAATACATGGGGGGGGGGGGGGGGGGGCTACCGGTAATCTGTGCATTACCGGTAATATTAATAGCTTAACAGTAGTAAATGAAAATCGAACAAGGTTTGATGCACTTGCTCTTTTTTACCCTACATAGGAGCGACGGATGTGTTCAAAAATCGTCATTATGATATTACCCTCTGTTAGCTAAACGAATGCCAATGCAAATGCCAATGCAAATGTTAAGCACCAGTCTAAATATATCAGTTTATTATTGAGGGTCTTATGTGATCATTAACGTCGTGATATTCAGTCACTACGTTCAGAGTTGCTATTAGAGAATGGGATAATGTGCATAAAATCTGTTTTATAGATTTATCTCCTTACAATCACGTTATTCAGTTTTTTGGTGTGCATTATTGAAAGCTTTTCTTTTTTTTTTTTTGGCGAATAGTAAACACGTATGTTTAAAAGCACACTCGGTTAAGATGGGATTTGTTTTTATTTCCTTGATTATTTATCTATCAGCCATATTGTATTTATTTCATAACCGTGATACGCATTTTTTGTCGTGATAATGAATCGCTCAACGACAAAAATGTCGTAAATCAAGCTGCATGTTGAATAAATCTCCACATCATAACGTTAAATGATTCTGGCTACAATGGAGACAAAATGAAATGAATAAGAAGTAAGTCCCTCGTATCTTGCATATAATAGAAGAGCATATCTGTTTTTCATCGTCTCTTTTGTATTTGCAGGCTGCAAAGCAGCATTCTTATAAAATTTATTTGTAAATAAGTTTAGTTCCTACACCGTATAAGTGAAATTAGTAATTAAACTGATTGATATTCCACACTCTGCCTGCCGTAGTGATTCTGATGACACAGTGTTCCATAATACCTGAAATGACGTATTGTGATAGTATAATGAAGGGTTTCCCATTTCTCTTCAATTTGCATGCATGGCCATCGCCTTTAGAACTGAAATTCTTCATCACGTAAATGTAATGTACAACTTGATTCAGTGTAATATTGACTGTAAATAAACTTGATAATAAACAACTGGTGGTCTTTGCTTTGAATAGTTGGAATAATTTTGAGCTGATGTGCGTTGTTTGCAAAAGAAAAAAAAATAGAATATCAAAATACAACACCTTTGCAATGCAGGTACCCAAAACCCACGTATAACGACCATTAAAGGGATAAAAAACTATTTATTTGACGGGAAAAGTGTCATTAAACCATATTTCCCAGTGATTAACGAATCCGTTACAAGATCCAAAGTTAGTCTTTTTTAAGTGTTGTAGTCTAAAGATATTATAAGTGGGTAACCATACATGAAGGCCCACAAGGTCCAATGGCAAGCACAGATTTCAGAATAATTGTGATAGCCGCCGTTTTGGTGGTAAATGTTATGTTTCTATGTTTTGTTTACAATGTATACCCACACATGGCTCATCGGAAGCTCGAAACAAGACTTACGTCCAGGTTCTCCATGAGGACATTGGCTTGGAGAACATAGGCCTACATGTATAACTGGGATTGCCAGTGTCATGGAGGACAGTAGGGTCTGGAAATCTTCGTTCTGTTGCTAAATTAATGATGTTGACGGTCGACTGTGGTCGATATGATTGATTGATTGATTGGTTGATTATAATGTATTTATTGTGGAGTTTTAAATCTCATCTGTAGAGTTGTTATCCTTTTAAGTTTTAGAAATCTGTTGAAATTTGTTGGAATTCTTCTATTATCAAATTATAGACAAACAAACAAACAAACAAACACACACACACACACACACACACACACACTCTTTTAAATGGATACTCCTCAAACTGTTCAACTTCTCATTAAATTCTGTCTAAATTAAGCTCCCACCTATAAAACATAATTAAATGAAGTCATTTATCAGCTGCGAGTTTGGGAATAAATATCTGAAGAAAAAAATCTATATTGAAAAAAAAATCTCTACCACGAAGCTATAAATCATATTTACGTGTGGATTAGGTAACTGATAATAACTGGAACTCTAACTGGGAGACAGTTCGCATTACTCAGTTTGACAGTGACATGCAAACTTCCGAACATTAAATGCCAGATGCGAACCTACATACGTGGAAAACGGCGAATGATGCACATTTAACGGTACTCTCGAGTCGTGAATAGAAAGAGTCCATTTACTAATAATTTTGCTGGCTGAGGCTGTCTACCAAAACAAAATACATACCTTAAGATGCTCGTGACAGTGGCGATACACGTTTTATTCGGTTTCGGGGTGGAGGATGTACGGTGAAATGCAAGTACTTATTTCGGTATATATGTCAAAAAGTACGCTGCCACCCCCTCGCGGTATATGCCTTGAACACCTCGAGCTAACGCTGGAGGTGTAGAGGTGCTCTGGTACATATCGCTCCGGAGACAGTTTATTATCTCACACATAACAAAAATCAATTTAGTTTCAATAACTCAGCTACAATGTACGTGGTGGGTGATTCAAAAAGACATGCTGGGCTCATGTTTAAATTTCCAGGACTGTAGCTAAATGGAACAAGCACTAGGTTCGGACCTTACAGAACCTGCGACGGAAATTGCTTATTTGCAAAAGGTCAGATGAAAAAGATTAAATCTACGACTAGTAGACCTGTGCGGGTGCCCCAAAAGTGAAAAGAGGAAATCTCAAAGAATCCACCTGGGTTTAGGCATCTGATACTCGGAAAACATGAGAAGACAATTTGCACTTCTTGAGGTTTGAGCGATTGAAATTAAAAATCAAATGTTTACATAGGATTAAACATAAGAAAACTTTTTTGGCAAATTCGGCGGCTCTTTTAAACCGACCCGCCCCCCAACTATAATACCAATGTAGAATTTTGTTTGTGCCCCTTCTATATACAGGATCAGCGCTGAGGAACAGGTCAATCGGCAATTTGTGTTACTCTACCCAACCACACAACCGGTCACTGAAGTATATGAAACTTGGTTTCTGTTGATCACTGCGCGTTTTCTTCCTTACTTGGTGAAATTAGGGGACCCCAATTCGACTTTCGGTGTGTTTTGTGTGACTACACTAGGACCTACTGGTACATTGCTTATCAGTTACATTATTCATATACAGCCATTAGTGCGTTTTCAACTGCGGGGTTTTAGTGACCGTATAAAGGCTTAGAAGCATACATGTGTGTGATTCAGTGAGAGTGCGCGTAAACCTCCACAAATAAAGCTGATTTTATCAGTCTTTACAGTGCCCAACCCTTCCTGTACTATGATTCCATTTGACAATGCTCATATTATCTCTCCGTTGTCTGAGGAATATATGGGATGGAAAGCGTGTCATAACTTCCATATTCTCTTCAAGACTCGGTGGTGCCTCGTGTAATTTAAGGACAAGTTGCGGCTTGGGTTGAGGATGAGGACTGTCATTATCCATTCTAGCACTCGACTGTATTTGCACTGGGCTGCGTTAGGCAAATAAATCACTAAATAAATTGATCCTTCTGGTCACTCGTTTTTACACTTTTAAAATTGATTTGATACATTACTAGTATGCATGTTAGGAAGGATACAATGCGATTATAACATGTACAGCCGACCACAGCACCTGGAAAGCATGAATTTTCATTATTGTAGATCTACTCTCGATCATAAAGAAAAAAAAACTCAACTACTTTTCCACTTAGAAAGTTAAATTTTTCGATTTAAAAGTAATTTCATTTCCCTAATACTTTTTACGTGTTTTTCCACATATTGAATTAAAAACAAGTGTCGGCCGTTTATCATCAGCCCCTTAAACTTATATTATAATTGTTTAAGGACACCTATTGGGACACATTGTACGCATGCGTTAGTAGACTAGTCCCAACTGCAGACACTTGTATTGTGTTCATAATTTAATGTAAAACCTCTATCAAAATGTTCTACTGGGTAATGGTTTGGTGCAGGCGTTGCCTTTTTTGCCATTCATTTGTATTTTAGGTCTAATCAAGCATAAAGAACGAAATTACCGTCCTGTGAGGCAACTGCTCCGTAAATGAGCAAAATGTGTACAACAGAATAGGGCCTACAGTATTAATCATATCTCAAAGCTACATAAAAAAAAATCATAAAATAAATAAATTAATTAATTTTAAAAAGCCCCATTCCGAACCGTCATATAAGAATCTGGTATTCATAAATGTACATGTACCTGTACTGTACAGGTTAGCGGGTCACGTCACGTCACTGGTGAGTCTGTGCGTCAATCACAAAGTAAACAAAGGTAGCCAATGACGTGTGACTTATACACTGGTACGACAAAAAAGTACCCGGTATAGTTAAGGGAGTTGTTACTATCGGGTACTCCGTAGTTCTGGAAAGGTGCCCGTCATCCTTACCAATGTTAAATCCTTCCACAAGTACCGCTGGGGCTGCAGCAGCACGATTTATTCTAGCTAGGTAAATATCAATGCATTTACTTTTTATAATTTCAAACTCAGGACGAAAAAAAAAATGATAAAATGATTAAGTTTATTAAAATATGAGTCTGCTTCCTGTTTCACTTTTGAAAATTAAAGATGGCGGGAGAACAGGCTAAATTCCATAAAACAAATTTTTATACGAGTAGAACTGTTTTTCACTTTTTGTGCAACGGATCTACAATGTACACATGTAATATATTAACGATGCGATACCAATTCTCCTTCAGTGAACTTCACTTTCGTCAAAGCGCCAGACTTACTTCTGTAGGATATTTTGTTTTACAGATATGTTTGTGTTCTTAAGTCGCATTTTCTCTAGTTCGCGGTAATTCAATTAGTTAAAAACATGGATATGTAACAGTAAATACAACTAAATTTCAAAATATTTCTTGTCAGCAAATACCGCCATGGAAGCTGGTAGTTCACCACAGGACATCCATAGAGATTTGATAATGTGGCTCAATGATCGTATAACAGAAAGCCAGTTAAAGAATATTAAATATTATTTACAAGATGAACTAGGAGAAGGGAAACTGGAGAAAGTTCAAGATTTCTTGGACCTAGCCAATATCTTGGAAGATATATGTAAAATTTCTGTTGCCAAGTACAGCTACCTCAAGAAAATTCTAAAAGCAGCAAATGCTGAGAAATTAGTTAAAAAGGTAGAAGAGAGAGAAAGGGAGATAATGAAGAAAAGGAATAAAAAAACGTCTGGTAAATATACGAAAGTTCACTTTCTGGTTACTTTGAGTACGACTCCTTCATGTTGAGTGAATGTTAGTCATCCTTTAGCATAACAACGATAAATATGAAAAACTCTGATACTGGAACTTAAATTTAGCAAATGACTGACAGTGCAGTCTCAACCTGAGACCTTTCACTAGGTAAATGACCTGGCATACTGGGTAAATGAAAAAAGATCAGGTGACCAGTCCATCCAGGTCATTTACCTAGTATAGTATATATATATATATATATATATATATATATATATATATATATAGTATTTATAGTGAAAGGTCTCATGTTGAGACCCCGTTGTTGGTCAGTTGCTAAATGTAAGTTCCAGTATCAGAGTTATTTACATTTATGACTCCTTCAGGTTGTTTGTATAATTATTAACAGATATATCAAACTGCTAATAAAGCAAACACTGAAAAAGATATGCAATTTACATGTAGGTGCAGGAAAAAGGAGATGACTCTTTCCTCAGGTTTATCTTTCAAAATATAACAGATCCAAAACTGATTTTAAAATTAAAATTCATTATTGTATTTATGTTTTCTTTTCTCGGAGTTCAGATTAAAATGATTGATTGATTGTTATAAAAATGATATATGATATATAAAAATGATGTACTATTTGGTATATTTTTTATTATACCATAAATTTTCCTATTTTTTCTAAATATCCAATGAAAACATCATGTTGGGTTTAATTTTGGGGTTACAACTCTGTTTCAGAGGGGCCACCAAATTACCAACAGGAGTTTTCCTATGAGAGACAAGATGAGCCAACAGCCAGCACATCAAAGCAGGAAAGCACTGATAGTACCAAAAGCCCTGAGCAAGGTAATGTTTATTCATTGCACAGATACTGTACATGTATAAAACCTCACATAAATCCTACCTGTTTACACATGAATATATCCTGAGCTTCTTTGCAAATACTGAAATTTGATGTGCAGAACTATTGGAATGATTGGATAGAAATATTAGAATATCAACCAATATTGCTTTAAAATATTAATTTATCTTTAAGACACTAAAAATTAGTATTAAAATTAATTTAAACATAATGTGGCACTCCATGACTGCAAATCTAATTTTAAATAAACACCTTATTCCAGAAATTATATCTATAAAACTTTAAGTATAAATTATAAAATGCTTACCTTCTTATTTTTCTTTACTAGGTTTAAGGTCCCATCAATTAAAAGGGGCAGGTCAGGAAAATGACAAAACATGGGAGACCATCGTCCGTGGACGGTTTCATAAAAATTATGCAAAACGTTTGCTCTTTAGGCATGAAAATGATCTCGCTGATATATATAGTCTGTTGGGTGAGCTAAAAGATAGTATGAAGTTCTGTGAAGATTTTGAAATTATTTTTGCCCATTACCTAAAGCTGCTTGACAAGGAACTTGAAAAAAATGGTGTGGAAAGTGAAAATTATATTCGATCACATGTTACAGGTACAACAGAAAGCATCCAAGACAAGTTGGAAATTCATAAGACTTTAATAGATATGAAGGGAAAGTTGGAAAAATGTCTTTTTGAAAGAATTAAGGTTGCAGTTGCAGACAAATATCCTCTCTCTCCTGAAGAGTTTAAATTGTTGAAAGAGAAATATCCTACAGAACAACTGTGCCCACCAGATCCAAAACTGAAAAACAAAAGCAAAATCTATGCTTTACTGCATCAGGTTTTTAGTAATCCCACCGACCCTACAGGTTTGGACTTGAAAGCTCCAACAGAGTTGGAATTTGATATGACTGGTCGTATGGAACCCACACATGACAAAAAAAGGATTTATCGCTGTGGTGAGATGAAGAGGAAACTATCAAATCATTATGGTGAAGCCAAAAAACAGTTTAGAAGAAGACTGAAGTTAATGGCATTTATTTGGTCTTGTGCTGGCTTGACCATCACCGATGCCATATGTACCGTTTATTATCAGACTGGACCAGATGACAGGACACAGCAAGCTGAAGAGGAAGACATTTATTACACATTTGAGCATGTAGATGGTGTGCCCTGTATCAAGTTTTATGAGAAGGAGCAGAAGGATGGTAAAAAAATCAAAGTTTCCATCAACAAAGAGAAAATAGAATAAATTGTCCAACTTTTAAGACTTTCAAATGGTGGGTTTTATCAAAACACTGCATGAGGTAGTGTTTGACCAAAAGACATCAAAGAGTGGTAACGACTAAATCATGTACATCATCTATACAGTGGCATGTTATTAATTATTTACAATGTATATATAATATTCAGTGTAAAAATGTGCAAATCAGTTTTAAAAATCAAAACCACTGTAAAAAATGCAAAAAGAGGAAATGTCAATAAATATATATATGCAAGGTTTTGTACACTCTGTTTCAAGTTTATCTTTTCATTAAGAGAGCATAAATTCTTCAACAAAAGGAAACTGAACTGCCTCATTTATGTAATTTATTACTATCAAAACAATACTTCAATCATGACTGGAGCTGTTTATTGGTTTCACCACAAAAATCCATCAGTCACTGTTATCTATTAGACCCTTAAAATAAACTTACAGTATACAATTAAAGGCAGCTTATGCTAGTTCATTAAACAATCCATCTCTGTGAATAGGTTTCTTACAAAGGACACAACTTGCATCAAAACCATTTATTTTCATAAAGACCTGCTTTTCAAAAAAAAAAAAAAAAGGGAAACTAAAATATAGTAGAGCTTAACTCACAGTTTAACTTATTAACCTTGAGCCAAACTACAAATAATTGTGAAATTGTATATGTACTAACTTTGAATTAAGGACAACTGTCCACCCACTGCTACACCCCTAAATGTCTTAGCCAAATCTATCATTTTCCTACCAGTGTCCTCCTGTGGCCCACCTTCTAAAAACTCAGGTGCAAGTTCTCTAAAGGTCATGGCAATTCTTCTTGACTGTATATGATCCCTCTTTATGGCATGTTTCCATTGAAAACGAGCAGGTCCTGAGACTATGATCAGTGATTTTCTGGGCATCGGTACTAACACCTCCACCCCAGGCTGATCATCTTTGGATAAAGTGAGATATGTGTCTGACAACAAATTCAATGTCACGAGTCTTTCTCCCCAGAGCCAGAAATCATCAAAATGTGGATCAATGGCAGAGCCTCTATCAGGAACATATTCTAAGTCACAGAGTTCCACTGGGACAAAATCGCGAAGTTGTTCAGTTCTCTGCATTCTCTCTACAAGTGTTTTGCAAAAAGCTGGCAACCCATTGAAGCAGCCAAGTTTTAATTTCTTTTTCTTAAAATTTGCTTTTGGTCCGTAGTCCTGGAAAAAAGAAGAAAAAAAATTATTCACTACAATAAAAACCACGTCATAAAAGTTAACTAAGTTTTGGTGTAAAAACATAATAAATATACACAGTCATAACTGAAATGTAAAATATCACATAGAGGATATGCCACCTTCAACTTCTCACAAAACTCAACTCTTCCTTAATGGTGAAGACAAATGCAACCACCTGTTTCCTTCTCCCTGACTGTGAGTTCACCCAAGGTGTTGCTTCCATCTGGACTACAAGTTCTTCCTCTTCGTTGTCTGTGATGAAGTCTAAGATTAGATTGATGCCTGGGAAATCTAAACACTTTCTGTTGGAGTGACCACATCTACAAAGATCACCAGTGGGTTGGGTGTTGAAGTGATCACTAGAGTGTCCATAATGTGTCCATTGGACTTGCTTTTCTAACCAGGCTTTAGAACAATGTGGACAGTACAGGTAAGTTTGTCTTTGTTCCTGAAAGAAATAACATTAACAATATGTTAGCACATGAATTCTGTAATATTATTACACAGTGTAACACCTGCTGTAGGTATATCACAATGCACCAGGGGCACCGCATTTGCCACTGTCCAGCTGCAGTGCTGGCAAAGCTGTGACCGGCCTGCCCACAGGACGCGTATGACATCCCTTTCAAGATCTTTCAAATCTCTCTTTTAGCGCTGTGTAATTTATACCATTTAAAAGTTCAGGAAATTTGCAATCTAATGGAAAAAACAAGAAAATTTAACGATTTGAAGTATAGTTAATTTGATTACCCTCTATTTCATACCAGTATTGGTCTCTTTAGACGTATATGGACAGATACAGATGCGCTGGTCAGTGGTCAGATTTTTGGCTGAAAAGTGAGGACACTTGGTGGCATATAGCAGTAAAAAAAAACTTCAATATCTTTGTTGCTTGTATGAATATTTTAAAAATTCCAAAAGAATTGCAATCTGTGTTGCAATATCTTTCAGAAGATATGAATATTATGTTTTTCTGATCAGTTTGAATTTTTTTTTTTTCTGATATACCTACCTGATGACCTGGTAGACAAGAAGGCATAATTTTTAACACTAGGTGAGAGTGAAGCATTTTTATTTGGCTTAGGACAGTATGTTTGTTACCTGTTCGTCTGTATATCTTTTCGGCTGCTGCATTTCACAGATTAAGCAGGTCCTTATACCTTTACAAGCACATTTCCTGTCCATATTCTTCGCTATCGACAGCTTTAAATTAAGAAATAATTTCGTCACTACCCTAATGTTGATTCGTGACCGGAAACACGCGTGCCACTTTTCTCTGACATGCGCATAAGAAAACTTCCGTTCGCGTGAGATTTAAAGGACTGAATGTATCAACCAGGTAAAGGAAGTAAGATTTTTCTTTCATTTATTGGTACATTTTATATCTTATTTACTTCTTGTATTATCGTCTGATAATTTTAAGTAAACGTAGTATGAAGTGCAGTTCATCTAACTCGCATAAAGCTCTTAATTAACCACAATTTAGCCTGGTTTCAATCTTTTACCCGATTCAAAAATGCGAATTATTTGTGTTGTTACATAATAGGTAAAAACATCGTCATTTTGCGTCTTAGCTTCTTATTTTCTGAGAGGATGATAATGCATTCCAAAGAATTTGTGTTTTACAACACCACGCCTAGCTTATAATGCTTATAAACGTGTGTAAATCAACTAGTACTTTGAAAATAAACCAGCACCCCCCCCCCATCCCGTCTCGCCTTAGACAACAGACAAAAGTTACAAGTGAAGTAATTAAGATCTGAATAAATTCAGATTGCGTTTGTATGTATGCACACCTTCTTCGAAGTGATTTCAACAATGTTAAATAATATATAGTAAGCAGTCAATGCAACTCGTCCTTGTTGTTTGCCTTAGTTTTCAGCCTTACATGCCACACAGGTAAGATCTCAATACACCCTCTATTAGAAATTCTCAAGACTATATTTGGCGTCAATTACAAATGCTAACACTGCTGCATAGTGCTAACACTACTGCATATAGCTGGAAAAAAGGATAAAAATGTTATCAAACTGATTTGTGAAACAGTCAAAGATGACTGTATTTGTGAATGATTTGCTGCAGTGTGCAATGGAGGTCAAACAGTTTCTCCAGGATTTGGATATTTGTACCCCTGGGAGTTTGTAATGTTCACAGGATGCTATAAGGATTACCTGCATAGCATGTAGTGCCAAGAAGTGGAGCAAACTTCTTGCCAGATAAATTGCCTTTAGTGCATGAATTCATTCCTTTTTTTTTTTTCATTTATTATTTGAAGGTCACAGTTAAATTGAAAGAGCCAGAGGCTGCAGTTATTATGTCAGCTTTAGAAGTAACTGAGGAATTTCTTCTCAACCAGACAGGATGTAAAAAACTCAGTGATATTAAACAACTGAGGTAATGATTTCTATAAATTTTAGAGGTAATGTGATCATATGATTCAGTTTGCGCAACTAAAGCAAAGTTAATAAGGTTTTCTTGAAAAGTAATTGAGAAGATAATATACATCAATCTGCATCTTTCTTTTCAATACAAATAATTGTTTGTCTAAAGTATAATTGCATGAGTCACTATAATTAATTTGTTTCAGCCTGAGTGAATTGGGACTAACCCACCTCCCAGTTGCTTTATTTAACAGACTCACCAACCTAGAAGAGTTGGACATATCTGATAATAACTTCACCTCTGTCTCCCCATCTCTGAACCTGAAGAAGCTGACTAAACTGGACTGTAGCCAGAACCAGTTGACAGATATCCAATTTGTTGCTCAATTCCCAAAGTTGGAGGAGCTTTACACACAAAACAACAATCTAGATGTAAGGAATTATCCCAGAATTGTCTTGTAAATGAAAGTTCAAGTACTAGTAGCAGTTTAACAAATGAAATGAATAAACAAATAGACAAATTAATTGAGAACACAATTAAGTCTCTACTTTGACCTAAGATAGATAAATAGTTGGAAACAAAATTTTATGTATATATTAAAGAAAGACAAGGATCATGTTTTATACTAAAGGTACTTTGTTTTCGTAGCCTTTTATGGATTTGTACTGAATTGAAGTCGAGTTAAACTTTTGATTTTCTGTTTTAAAATTTTTAATGTTGGCTGTTTGGAATGCCTAGATCTGTCATTAAAATGCTGAAATAATTGACAGTGTTAAGCTTGCTCAAACATGTCATTGAGTAATCATATAATTATTCCACTTCATTTATAATGTAATTCCTATATTTGGGAAGGCTTCAGACAGGTACATAGCAGTGGCCTTGTGTCCCAAGCTGCAGAGATATAACAAAACCAGAGAGGCCTCATTACATCAAGTAGTCAGTAACTTGAGGATTAAACTTAGGTCTCAGGTTGGTAATCCAAATTAAACCAGTACATTAAACCGGTACAGGGGGTTGCACGTACGCTACTTATGATCTAGATTGACAGGTCTTGTTACAAGATGATGAGATGTACAGTCCATATACTATAGTGGAGCAACAGAGAGAGTTAAGTATATTTCATTTATTTAGTGCCTTCCTTTAAATTATTTAATTTCAGCAGATATGTATTTTTCAACACTTTTTTTTTNAAATCAACTAGTACTTTGAAAATAAACCAGCACCCCCCCCCCATCCCGTCTCGCCTTAGACAACAGACAAAAGTTACAAGTGAAGTAATTAAGATCTGAATAAATTCAGATTGCGTTTGTATGTATGCACACCTTCTTCGAAGTGATTTCAACAATGTTAAATAATATATAGTAAGCAGTCAATGCAACTCGTCCTTGTTGTTTGCCTTAGTTTTCAGCCTTACATGCCACACAGGTAAGATCTCAATACACCCTCTATTAGAAATTCTCAAGACTATATTTGGCGTCAATTACAAATGCTAACACTGCTGCATAGTGCTAACACTACTGCATATAGCTGGAAAAAAGGATAAAAATGTTATCAAACTGATTTGTGAAACAGTCAAAGATGACTGTATTTGTGAATGATTTGCTGCAGTGTGCAATGGAGGTCAAACAGTTTCTCCAGGATTTGGATATTTGTACCCCTGGGAGTTTGTAATGTTCACAGGATGCTATAAGGATTACCTGCATAGCATGTAGTGCCAAGAAGTGGAGCAAACTTCTTGCCAGATAAATTGCCTTTAGTGCATGAATTCATTCCTTTTTTTTTTTTTTCATTTATTATTTGAAGGTCACAGTTAAATTGAAAGAGCCAGAGGCTGCAGTTATTATGTCAGCTTTAGAAGTAACTGAGGAATTTCTTCTCAACCAGACAGGATGTAAAAAACTCAGTGATATTAAACAACTGAGGTAATGATTTCTATAAATTTTAGAGGTAATGTGATCATATGATTCAGTTTGCGCAACTAAAGCAAAGTTAATAAGGTTTTCTTGAAAAGTAATTGAGAAGATAATATACATCAATCTGCATCTTTCTTTTCAATACAAATAATTGTTTGTCTAAAGTATAATTGCATGAGTCACTATAATTAATTTGTTTCAGCCTGAGTGAATTGGGACTAACCCACCTCCCAGTTGCTTTATTTAACAGACTCACCAACCTAGAAGAGTTGGACATATCTGATAATAACTTCACCTCTGTCTCCCCATCTCTGAACCTGAAGAAGCTGACTAAACTGGACTGTAGCCAGAACCAGTTGACAGATATCCAATTTGTTGCTCAATTCCCAAAGTTGGAGGAGCTTTACACACAAAACAACAATCTAGATGTAAGGAATTATCCCAGAATTGTCTTGTAAATGAAAGTTCAAGTACTAGTAGCAGTTTAACAAATGAAATGAATAAACAAATAGACAAATTAATTGAGAACACAATTAAGTCTCTACTTTGACCTAAGATAGATAAATAGTTGGAAACAAAATTTTATGTATATATTAAAGAAAGACAAGGATCATGTTTTATACTAAAGGTACTTTGTTTTCGTAGCCTTTTATGGATTTGTACTGAATTGAAGTCGAGTTAAACTTTTGATTTTCTGTTTTAAAATTTTTAATGTTGGCTGTTTGGAATGCCTAGATCTGTCATTAAAATGCTGAAATAATTGACAGTGTTAAGCTTGCTCAAACATGTCATTGAGTAATCATATAATTATTCCACTTCATTTATAATGTAATTCCTATATTTGGGAAGGCTTCAGACAGGTACATAGCAGTGGCCTTGTGTCCCAAGCTGCAGAGATATAACAAAACCAGAGAGGCCTCATTACATCAAGTAGTCAGTAACTTGAGGATTAAACTTAGGTCTCAGGTTGGTAATCCAAATTAAACCAGTACATTAAACCGGTACAGGGGGTTGCACGTACGCTACTTATGATCTAGATTGACAGGTCTTGTTACAAGATGATGAGATGTACAGTCCATATACTATAGTGGAGCAACAGAGAGAGTTAAGTATATTTCATTTATTTAGTGCCTTCCTTTAAATTATTTAATTTCAGCAGATATGTATTTTTCAACACTTTTTTTTTTGCCAGCCAGTCGGGTCAAGTTGATGTTCATGACATTACGTGCTACCCCCCTTTATTATTGAAATTCTATTGCATATTATGTATCTGTTTGGTATGAAGAAAAATGGGGGTATGTGTACAACATGTACAATTGTCACATGTCCAAGACTGTTACTTTAGTAGAAGAAAACTGAAAATGATAGTAAATAACATGGAGAGGTATAAAAGGTCAGCAGTCAAATACTAAAATGTGCTACATAAAGGTTTGAGAACATAACTGGTCTGGACATTTTTGTTCTTAATGTATGTATTTGGCCAATGTTTGTGCATTTGTTCAACATTTTACATTTCTCTGGTGCAGGTAAATTTGCTTTTCTTTTTAGGTCAAATCAGTATGGGAAGCTAGATATAAAAGCAAGCTTAAGACAGACAACCTTACAAACAACAATTTTCAGACTGTTCTATCGCAGTTCATGAATGACCTGAGGAAACAAAAATTGATAGAGGGCAAAGATTTATTAAAGTATAAAGAATTTATGGTATGTTTTATGTCAATTACTGAATTTTCTTTGTTTTGTTACGTCGATTTATATCAATATTTGACTGAATGCCCAAATGGTTTTTAAAAATTGTCACTTAGTTAAAGAGTTATACCAATATACTCCCAACAGACTGTTTTACAGATGTAGCTTTTTACACAAAGGCATTTTCCATCAATTGTTAAGATTTCATCTAAGTATACTTTGCCGTGTTCACTCATCATTTTTAGAAGCTTATTTATGAGTCATTTTTTGTTTTGATCAGTTGGAAAGTGTGGCTCAAGAGTTGATGCATTCAGTCCAAGGAAACAGTCACGCAGGCGTGTCTCCACGTAAACGTCGCAGGATAGAGGAGACTGAAGATGAAGAAAATTATGAAAACACAAATCATTTCTCAAAGATACAGCCCAAACCGTGCATATTAAATCTGGTAAGGAAATAGAAGTGAAAGCTTTAAGGTAGCGTTTGGGATTATTATAAATCCTTTTTTGTGGTGTGCAATCATGAAATATTAAAAATTTATTAACTGGCAATGTGTTTCAATCTGTATAGTTTTCTGCATGTCATATTTCCTCTTATAGTTATACTGTATCAAAAGGGTTCTTTTAAATTGGAATTATAAAGTGAATCTAAGATTGACATACTACAGCTAACATTTTAGCTTTCTATATATTTGTAGCCAGATGTTCCAGATTATGATCCTGTTCATTTTGTCCGCTGTCATGCCAAGGACAACAATCCCTCAGACAACAGAACCAAAGTATGGAAATGTGCTTTTGAGCCAGAATTAGACAACCCGGGTAAGAAAAATGCCAGAGTGAGGATGGGTGCTTGAAATAAGGAGCACTCTTTTCTTTTGCAAGTAGGGTCCACTTTGATAAATAATATAAAATAATTTTTTTTTTGGTGAAAATGCCCTCTCTACAGTTCCTTTATTCTTAAATTATGTGAATAACAATTATACAGTTATGAGGTATGAAATGTAACTTTGATCATGTAACTGAAAATGAACTTTGCATTGCAGGAGAGACAACCAACATTGTGGCTACTTGTGGGGGTGACATACTCTGTCTTTTAGATTGCTCAACTGGTAAACTAATGATGCGTTACAAGCTACCGAAAGAGGTAATTTGCTGCTAAGCTACTCTTGATTAATACTAATGACTTTTTCTTATCTTTCCAGTTCAATGTGTTCTGAATTGGGTAGTCATTCCCATTGTCATAGAATATTTAACATTGATTGATTAGCTTTATACCAAGCATGTGCTGTTTAGGAGAAAAACATTTGGATGAACAAAATTGCTCTTTAGATCACTAAACCACAACTTTTTAATAAATATAATATGCCTAATATTTTTTGTCTTTGGAAATCTTAACCATACCATTTAAGTGCACATAGATTGCATAGTACAACAAATTTCCCAGACAATTTCAACATTCAGAATGGGATCTGAATCATTTATTATTTGAATCTCTTTCAGCATTTTTTCACTGTGGCTTGGACCACAGTGTGTAGTAGTACAAGCAGTGGCCGTGGCAGCAAACGCACAAACATACTGGCCACTGGGGGTAAGTAAAGTTACCAAAGAATGCTGATTTTAAGCAAGCTGCTGTAAATTTTGCCAATACATAAGCAATTGTAGTTTTGATCATTTATTTTTCTTCTTTTCGTAATAACCTTTTAATTGATAGTATCATTTATTTTCAGGAAAACTAGGCATTGTTCATCTTATTCACCCAGCTCAACACCTGTGCTATGCTGAACTAAAAGGACATACAAAATATATCAGTAGCCTGTTAGTTCATCCAGAGGAACCAACATGGTTATTTAGTAAGAATAGATAATTTCTAATATATTAATTGTACCACCAGTGTTAGCGCTGGCGGTACACATGGTTTCGGTCCCGTCCGGATCGTTCCGCCGGCTCCGCCGGACGGCTACCGTTACCGCT